GCAGTAGCAGTAGCAGTAGCAGTAGCAGTAGCAGTAGCAGTCGCAGTAGCAGTAGCAGTCGCAGTAGCAGTAGCAGTAGCAATAGCAGTAGCAGTAGTAGTAGTAGTAGTAGTAGTAGTAGCAGTAGTAGTTAAGCATCTATGTTTACTATGAGGGTGATGCTGTTGATATTCAAATGATACGGAGGACGATGACTATATCAATAATGATGAATATTCTTGTGTTGTTAAAAACAACATAACATTAGCATCATTAGCGTGATGAGTAGTGTTATTATGAGTATTATTATCTTTCTGCCCTTTCGTGCTTATATTCAAACAAAACATGATGGTTTTAATTATCACGATGCTGGTTGTCATTACATGCGTTAACGTGTTGATATTCTGATCATGATGACTCATTCTGCTGGTTATGATGATGCTGATGTGCGCTTTGCGGCAAGGCCGCAAACCCGAGAGACGAGCAACTTGCGTGAAAATGCGAGATTTGTTCAAAGAAGTTCCGTGTCCGCTGTCAACTCACGAAGTAGCCCGTTTGTAATACAACTGGCGCGGGCAAACGACAGGCTTCGGGCATAGCAATGGTAGTACCACGCACCTGCGCATTGTACAGAATACCTGCATATGAAGACCTGAAATCTAGGTTTGGGTACAGTTTACCTCATGCCCCGTGCCTGCGCTCTTGCTGCCCATACGAGCGCGCCGCTGCTTGGTCGGGCGCGGGGGTCGCGCACATTTCCTGACAGTGTGGAATATGGCAGATGCTTCAACGATCACCGCTTCTAAAGCAAGACCCGCCGTGCTTTTGCATATGACATCTAATTCATATAATCTGTACTGACAGTCATGACAAGCCGTGGACCTTGAGACCTTGAAGAACGATCCCTCAACTGACCCGATACAAGGCAAAGACCTTCCAGCCCAGCTGAAGACGTGACAGTTCTTGTTGATGCGAAGCATGGGCGGCCAGTTGGCTGTGCGTTTGCCTTCCGTTTGGGCCCTTTGTCTCTACGTGGGACAACCTGCGTCTATCAAACTTGCCCTGACTGTTCGTAGCTGTGGCGTTTCTGGCTACTTCGAAATGGCAATGCTGAAGTCTCCCCAGGACCGGCCTGCATCGAGCTTCTCCGATTTGGAGCGTCTGTGAGGAGGCGTCTACGCCCGTTGGATCAGTCCTCGGGGCTGAGTGGAGGCCTTGGGGCTCTTGGGTCGCTTAGGTTGAAAGCTTTAGGGTTTAAGCAGCTTTAGGCTTTAGGGTCAAGCGTTGAGGCTTTAGAGTGTTGAGGCTTTGGGATCCACGATCAGGATGTGGATAGGGTCTGAACACCATATTTTGCAGTTGACAGGGCGAGTTGGGGCTCAGACTGCAGCTAGGGTACCTTAGCTGCAGTGCCCATGTCCGGTTGTGTAAAGCAGGTGCTTCCCCCGGACCCCTCCTCAAATCATGAAGTACCCCGAAGCCTCTTACAGCAGCCAGGGCAGTCATGTTCAAACCGCCTTCCCTACGTAATCGACCCTGATAAGCATACGGCTTGAGTAGATTGCACCCGTGAACATCTACCAATTGCGTCCCGAATGTCTCAGATCATTGGTTCCAACAAATAAGTCTGGCCAGGAGCGACATTTTGGATTGGCATCGTTCCTACGATGGACGACTAGTACTAGCCCTACAGCAACGACGACTACTACTAGTATAGCACCACCTGTGTAATAAACCTGTTACTGTTATTGTCAGTTTCATGCTATTTTTGCAGCTCCCAATGTGGTTGGTTGTGCTACCTCCAACACCCTCTCTCTGGGCCACCGAGCTGTATTTCCACATCCACGGAGCCGAAATCGAACATGTTCGTCTGCACCGGAAGGGAAGAGTCGACACCTGGACTTTCTGAATGGGGAATGCTGAAGTGCTTCATAGTCCAGCCCCAAGCAAGTGGTGCCCGTACGCGCTTGCAGTCGGAAACAGCGCTTGGACAAAGCTAGGTGTTTTGCCGTGGAAGGATGAGGAGGTTAAGGATGAGGAGGCGAAGAGCAGAGAAGGACCGACAGCAGATGTACGTTCCACATCCATCACAAATACGAACTGCGATGGATGATGGTGACCCGAGCTTGATCTGAAATGCTAAGACCCCGGCTGTAGGCAAGACTGCCCGTGAGGAGCGCCGACCCCGCCGTCTCTCCGCGTCTGCCAGCATTGGGCGGCATTTCGGATTGTGGGATTTCTTTCTTCCGGGGCTTTCGGCTTCGGCGTTTAGGTCTTGAGGTTTGGGATTCAAGGGTGAAATGTAATGAAGGACTTGAAGGTTAGGGGAAAGGGTCCCAAGGTTTTTTGGGGTTTTTGTACGAGATGGACTATTGTGGGGGCAACATAAACTTTAGGGTTTAGGCTTTAGGGGTTTAGGGTATAGGGTTTAGGAGCTGGATGCAAGTCTCTTGACGCATGGCTCCAAGCCCTGGACAGAAACTTTGCTCGAAGCCCTAAACCGAAACCTTCTGCTTTGCTCGACTCGTGAAGTCTTCATTTCTGTGTGACCCACCAGGCCGCAACTCGACCTTAAGCACCGTCCAAAGCCTACAGCATTTGTGTCCGCCTAATTCCCAAGGACTCAAACCGCACATCCTTCGCAACCGCAATCCCCGAAATCCTTCAGCCGGCCGAACGGGTCCACAATCTGCCTCAATTGACTCATGTGCGACGGACTGATGCCGCTAACGGATGAACAGGAATTCACCTCCGAGGCGGTTTCGATGGCTTGACATCGTGTGCTTGTCAGGCTCAGGGTTTTCAGATTTATGGGCTGCCGGGCGAAAGGCACGTGGCTCAATGCTTCAATCGGGGGGATGGTATGCTGTGTGGGATTCTGCCCTGCACCAAGCATCGAGAAGACTGAAGAATGAGAGAAGACCCTGACCCGAAATCCTGAAGGAAGTGGGTTTGGGGCTTAGGAGTTTAGGGCTGATATGAAGTCTGGCCTGAAGTTCGGCCATTTGGGCCCCGCAGAGATCGTTTAGTTAGTTTGTAGGGTCCCTGAACCCTAAACCCTAAATTAGAGATAGTTCAGTATTTAGGGGTTTTAGGGTTCAGTAATTGGAGAACCAAGGCCAACAACGTCAGCCAGACCAAGAATGGAAGCTTCCCAAACGGGAAATCGATTGGACGCTTCTTGGCTCATGTAGGGGCCTTAATAATAAGGTTTTGGGGTATACTATACTGTAGTCATAATAAGGAAGCCCCCCAAAATAGCATTGGCACTTATTTATATAGGCCCCTATACTAGATCTTTGCATCCTGCGGTCCAGTCTATGCCCCTGCAACAACGCAACTAATGCCACAAAAAGTCCTCGACCAAGGCAGCATGTGAGCACTTTCATCCGCAAATCTCAAAATCCTTGATTGCAGACGGACTTCTCTAAACATGACGTGCCGGCCTACAACCCGAAACCCAGAACCCCATGCAAACTCTGACCGCCAAGCTCAGAGAGCCAAAGGACAATTGCCGGCCTTCTCTTTTCTAGGGCCTCGGATTCGCTGTTGAAGGTTCCGCAAGCTGGGCACCTGATCATGTCCACAAAGTTGTGCCCATATGTCGCCATGGTCTCTGCGAGTCTCCCCTCACCTTCTCCGAAACCCATTGCTAAGTTTTCATGCTTATACAGGGTTCGGGAACCCCTGATAGAAGGCGCCAACATGGTTAGAACGCGGGTCAGCGAGACCTTTAGTTAAACCTAGCCTTGCACCAAAGCCCTGGATTCCTGGATTGCGAAACTTTGACACCGAAACCCTAAGCCGAAGCCCTAAACACCGAGACCGCAGACACCGAAACCCTAGATCCAAACCTGAAATGCCTGATGCCCACCTCAACCTTCGCAAAGCTCAAGGCAGCGGGCGAGCTCCTGTTTGGGTTTGGGGTTTGAGGCTTGGTAGATTTATGCGGTTTGGAGGGATTGGGCTGCGGGGCCTGCGGTTCAGGGTTCAGGGTGATGGGTTTCCTGGTCCAGGGCAGGTTGAATCGCAGACTATATCGGAGGTCATATGACAAGACGATGGAGATAAAGTTTGTGACGGTGTGCTACTTCCAAGAGGCTTGTCTTTCTCACTGGGGAATAAATGTTGATAGGCACGTAAGTCGGTTTATGACATGTATGCTTGAAGGCGTAAGAAACAAGTCTTACTTCGTTCTGGCACAATACACCAGACGGCAAGGAACAAGCAGCCAGGTATAGCGCAACAACATTTGCGCTATGCATAACTGTGATGTCTGCACAGTACTAGTCAGCCCTTTAAAGTATGTACGCATTGATACGCGCTGCATCGCAAAAAAGCTGGGTAGCATCCAAGAAGATTGCATTTCGCGGAACCACACAAATTGTAAGCCACGTGTCCTTGTGATATTTCGGTACATCAGCCCTAGGCACAAAACGGTTGAGTTCATCTCTGAACCCAAAGAAACCCAACCCGATTCTGTAAGCTCTGAGACCTCGTACAAATAGAGGGCTGGACACTATGTAACGAACATCCCCTCATACACCCCGTTCACCCTTCTATTACAAACCAACGCCCTACTCTAATATCTAAGGCCCCTATACTTAATAAGTAAAGACTTCGAGAATTATCCCATCCTCCGTCGGCCGTATGTGGCCGGGCCTGTCTCTCGGTCCTGATCCCTGCAAGGATTCTCGCGATTTGGGGCTTTGGGTCTAGATTTGGGGTTGAAGGTTTTGTCGTGTAGGCTTTAGCGCATAAGGTTTAATGCAGAAGGCGTCGGGTTCGGGATTCTTGGTTTGGGGGTGAGCGTAGAGTTTGCTCTTTTCGCGAAGATCGAGAGGCCGTGACTTTTGGAATCGGGATCGGGCCTTCCTGAAAGCCAGCTTCAACTGCCTAGGCGTTGTTTGCCAACTCAGACGGGCTTGGGGGAAACCGTTGAACAAAAAGCCTTGCAGAACCTTCTTGATCAGTGGTAAGTTGTGCTGTCCCCGGGATTTCTGGTTGCGGGTTTAGGGGTCCATGTTGTGTAGTTTAGGATATCGGTGATGGTTTTACCTTTGCTCAAGTCTTTGTTCGAGCAGTACAGGGTGCCGTCGCTCATGTGTAGGCCCTGACTATGAGCCTTGTCAACCCCGTAAACACCTCTGCGGAACTACTTTGCAACACTTACGACTGTGGCTCCCGGTAAGAGCCCCTCCCATCTCTCCTCCTGAGCACCCTGTGTGGTGGCAGGAAATGTTAAGCTCTCGATCTCTGAGAGGAAGTAGGGCTCCCTGCTGAGGCATTCAACACACAACCTGCTGGTAGTGACCCTGAACATTCGGATCCTTAACTTGCGGACACCAATCAAGGGGTTCCTAGTCTCATATAAGAAGCCCCAACCCCACCCCCACCCCTCAACGCAACATTCGCACCTTAGGAAAACTTACACTTCTGACCCGTACAAAACTCCAGACAAGCAACCCCGCTTGTCGGAAACCCTACACCCCAAAGCTTACTCGCTGATTCTTAAACCCTGAAGTTCTGAACCCCAAACCCCCCCCCTTTCTTTGGAGCCTGGAAAGATTCTCTGAGGACAAGGAAGGCATGGGCTGCAGCATTAAGCGGCGCTCCGACTCCTCCCCGCCAGGGGAAAGGAGTTGGGGCTTCAGGGCTTGCTTGGGGTTTGGGAGTTAGGGCTTTAGGGTTTGAGGGTTTGCTTGACCTCTGAGAGAGTGCTTTTTGAGTCCTGATATCATAGGTTTCTCTCAGGATTTAAAGTTAGAGTGGGTCCACGGGAATGACAACGGTTTCAGCAGGGTTTTGTACAAACGCTTGTGGCGGTTTTGGGACTTGGGTCTGAAATGGTTTAAGGTCAGGTTTAGGGTTAAAGTTTAGGGCTTAAGGTTTAGGGTATTTTCAGGTTCAAAGTTCTCGGCTGGGGCTTCAGGTTATGGTCTAGCGTTCAGACTTTATTAGGATTTGGGTCGGCAGGCTGTAGCAGTGCGTGCAATGTTGAGTTGTCTAAAGTCGCAAAGCTTGGGCTTTGCCTAAGATTCCAGGCCTGATGGGCAGTTTCAACAATGAGGGGCCCGTTTCATACACTCCAAAAGGCGATGAAATCCGATAACACAGTAAATGGGAAACCGTACAAAACCCCATATTTCCATTGCTAGGCCCGAGCAGCAGCACTCCAAGCCACCCATTCTCAAGAACCTTTCCAGGACCACCAGCCAATGAGTCCAAACGCGGCACTGCGGCGCCGTAAACCCGCAACCCCGAACCCCTAAAGTCCCTAAAGGCCGAACGAATTGCACCCNNCCCTCCCCCCCCCCCCCCCCCCCAAAAAAAAAAAAAAATACACGCAAACTGCAACGTGGCGCTCCGAGCCCGGCCCGACGGGCGGAAACCGCACGAACTTCGGCATTTGGAGACGAGGAACCGCGAGGAGTCGAAGAGGAGTTTCGAACATATTGGAAGGCCAAAGACGGCTAAGATGTCGCGAACCGCAGCACGGCACGATTTCCTTCCGAGTCATTCATATTCGGCCTACAGTAGGGTGATGTTTGGAGCCTTGGACAAAATCTGTAGAAGATGCGCAGGAGCCGCGGAGGGCTTCTGGCTGAGTCCGAGCAAGCAGAGGTCGAAGCCAAATGCCCATTGTGGCTGATCGGGGCTGCAGGCTTGTAGGGCTTTGAGTTTTGAGCTTCAGGGAGTTACGGTTTAGGCCAAGGGGTCTTACAGAAAGCCCCAAAGCAAACCGGATTCCATCACCGATCATGGGGTGAAGGAGTGGGGCTTCGGGTTGAGGGTTCAGACGGTAGGGTCCCGAATACTTGTACCAATGGATAAAGCCGCCTCAACCATGCGCCCAAGACCTCAACCGTAAAACCCTGGAAGCTATGAGCCTGAAGCCCTCAGAGGAAATCGAATCCCACAGCCGCTCCTCTGAGATAGAGTGAAACATCGCCAGCCACGCCGGCTCGACTAAGCCCGTCCGCAGCAGACCTCAATAAGTTTGTGATTTGGGCTTTGAGGCTGCAAAGTCTTCGGGTTCAGGGTTTAAGGGTTTGGGGTTCAAGAACTTCTGGGTTTGGCCTTTAGGTCTAGCGTTTAGCGTATAGCTGATGGACTTCATGGGTTTACGCCGTATGGGTTGGGTGCTTTAGGGCAGGGCTTTCGAGGGATTTAGACTTCATCAACTGTTGCTAGGGTTTATAGGAAGCAGTCTGGGTGACGTGGTTCGGCTGCCAGGCCTTTTACATAGTACTGACTCCAGTACGCTCTGAAATGACATAAAACCTTTCAATCTTTGGATTGAAAAGGGCCCAAGCCGGCTTCACCCAGCAACATAACACAGACACCTTTGATTGGCAGAGAACCCACGAAGTGACGTCGCCAGCCGATGCTCGAATAGCATCGAACGGAAGGCATCCCCCAATCTCGGGCTTAGCAAAGCCTTCAATTTCAAAGGTCCTAAAGCCTTATAGAGCTTATGGAAGCCAAGATGGCCCTCATGTCTTGGAACCACTCCGTCGCTGTTCTTTAGACCACTACTCTCCACCCGACTCAGCGTCCTGAAAGAGATCTCCTCACCAATAGCTCCCAAAAGGAGAGCCGAGTGCTGTGTGCCCGACACAAAGTTGCTTTCGTGGGACCCATCGCCAGACGTAGCTGCACAGAGAGACAATAGAAGGGCTCCTGGCACGAGATTCTTCGAAGCGGCTCCTTTGGCTGTTGTTTCCTTCTGGATGCAAGTGGCCTTTCGCCTTGCAGACTGTCTTGGGTGCCGTTGCTGCCGCAACTACGACGTGGTACGACGACGCCGACTACTGACTACTGTCTGCACGACACCGGCGACTATTACCAGCCACTGCTACAGCGACGACTAGTACTGCAACCGCTTCCTCTCTTCCTGATGAAACTCCCCCTCCTCCTAATTACTCCTCCCCACCCTCTTGCTACAGCTGCTGTCACAAAGGCGGCATCAGCATCAACCACCGCCACCACGAGTAATTACAAGAAGCAGAAGTACAACCGCACGGAGAAGCCCAAGCACAAGCTGCACGACAACAACCACCGCCACAACCGCAACCCCTCAACGCCCAGAAGCCCAGCCACGGAAACCCTAAACCTCGAACCTTGAAGACTCCAAAGCCATGAGATCGCAGTTCGAACTCTCGCGATCCTTCATGCGGTGGAAGTCAAAGTCAGGTGTCTGATCGAAGATGCAGGACAGGTGCTTCCCTGCCAAGAGCCGGCCAACAATGTAGGGTACAGGGGCCTGAAGAAGACCCTAAACGCTAAACCCTAAAACCTTCTTGTAGAAACCTCCAGGTTTCTGCGTTTCGGCGTTTGGGGGCCTTTGGTGCTCATTCAAAATCCCTGATTAGGCCCTGATTGGAGCCTGCATAAGCCCTTGCTTAGCCCCGACATGAATCCTTACTCACCAGCATGGCATCTGTCGGCCTTGGGACGCAACGTCCGACCCTCCAGCGAACCTAAACCAAGAAACGACTGCAGCCAGGCTGAAACTGAAAGCTCAAGCGAAGAGCCCTGAACGAAAGGCGAAGCATTTTTGAGCTCAAGCCTTTAACGTCCAAACCTCGTTCGCAAACCCCACTTTAATTGAACTGCTGACTCGCCAGCCCCTCCATACCCACGAATTCTCAAGAGCTTTCGCTTGGCCCACAGGTTACATGTTCAGGGAAGCAAGCACCTTCTGACTGTGTGCAGTTCCTGCCATGGATCAATGCCGGCACTCTATAAACACTGGAACCTGAAGCCACAAAGAGCTCCCACAACCCAGTGTTCTCGACTCAAAATCAAGACACACGCCTTCACGCCGACCCCTAACGAAGGACACTGTAATTCGTAATCTATAACAACCCAGACATGTGGCAAATGCATCGACAAGCGCCTGCTATGTCATAGCCAATCTGGAGGCGAACTTCAAACGGCACCTTCGACACTCCAAAGGGTAAAGTCGAAAGCTGATGGTTGCAACTCGAGGATTCTAGGGGCTGGGGCTTAGGAAACCCTAATCCCTAAGGTGTTGTCGCCAAGGGTTCAGGGTGTAGGATTTGTCAAAGCAGGACTTGGGGCAAGCGTCTCGGGGCTTAGGAGAAGAGGTCTCTGAGGGAACCTTGAAGGCTTGAAGGCTTCAGACTGAGCCCTTGAATCTGGGGGCTGGCCAAGTGTTATGCAATGACACTACTGGCTCGTGGAGCCTGCTCATGAGTGCCTGGGTTAGTTTCCACCAGCACAGCACAATGTAAGCAAAACACAAACGGCAGCGTAAGACAAGCAAGACTTGTCGGATGTATCAGTGCAGCTTACGGTGAAGAGACTGCGTGATTAAGCGCTGAACAAAACTCATGTTCTTCGGTACACTCTAGAATGCGATTTCTCCACATACTGTAACAGTCATTATACACAGTCTTGTGTTTGGGTTGATGTTGAGCAACCTTCTGGGTGGGGGGGTTTGGGCTGCATACTTGAGATTGTGCGTTTCGGATGTGTTGCGGGGAAAGGAGGCAGGAGTAACCTGTTGCCAAGCAACCGCTTACCATCGTCTCTAGGATACGGTAAGTACATAGACACGCACTTGTCGGAGAGCGCAAAGGCCACCGTGCTGACTGAAATTGCCCTCCTAGGATCCCTACTACTTCGTTCTTACCGAGGAGTACTGCACAGAGTCGCTTCCGTAGACGGAATCTCTAGCCCAAAACCACCTAAACCCAAACCCCAAAAACCCGAATCCACATCTCGTAAATGGTTCAAAATGCCCATCTAAGCCCCAAGCCCCAAATATGCCCTAAATCAACGGATTCCTGATTTGAGGGGCCTTCACACTCGGTGGGGCTTTGGAATCCAATCTGGTGTGCAGACAATTTAGGAAAGGTGAAATTCATCAGTCGGACTTCCCCTGAGTTGCGTGCCTCCCGCACCCTCAGATCCTGCGAGGCTCCCAATAAGGGCTTTGTAAAGAGACTACGGTCTAGGAGTCTGCGGTTAGGGGCTTTGGGGCTTAGGGTTGAAAGGCGCTGATAGGATTTCAGGGTGTAGGTGATATTCTCGCCCCTGCATGCCGAGGGCACAACTTTCGATCCTGTGATACAGCACGTTCCCAAAACAACTGTAGTCCGTCGAGCTTAGGCTTCGCAAGCATGTCAAATACAGACTAGGGGTTTGCCCCGTAAGAGCTCGCGTGATCTGTTTGGCTTTCGACAGCTTCAGGGCGGTATGTAGCCCTAAGCCTCCTGAACCATGAAGGGGTCTGAAGAAGTAAGAGGCCACAAGTTTGCGGATGCTAGTATCAAGTAGGCACTCGTTCTGATTCATGGCTGTTGCAGTTGCGGCCTGGTGCAGGGTAAATGCTTTTGGGCCGGGATTCGCAAAAAGTATGCATCCCCAGGTGGAGTAGCAGGGGCTCGCACTGAGGACGAGTTTATGTAGGGATTTCGGCCGAGGCTTTAGGCGAAAGCAAGGAACCTCTTCCGAAGCACATCTTGCCGAGAACGCGAAGGCATACCCCATGAGTGCGAGAAGAGTGGAGGGCTTCGGTCATGTTCTCAGGAAGTCATTGGTTTGAAGGTTTGATTGTTCCGCTGAGGGTCTCCACTGTCTCATGAAAACCATCCATGAACCAGAAACCTCCGTTCCGATCGGGATGCAATCCTGCTGCAACGGCAGGATCACCCAATTCATCTTCTCGCTTCCTCGGCCGAGTCTTGAGATGAGAGGCCTTCCACAAAGCATCCGGAAGCTCGGAACAGTAGGCCCAAAGATTGTCCGCGTAGGTTACAGTACGGCTATTCCGTCCCTTGGAGTACCATTAGGTATTCGTTCAAATCTCTATACATTAGAGCTTTCGAAACTGCCACAAGTCTTGCACGCATCAAGCTCCCAAGACATGCTGTTCGCCGGACAAGCCCAAGGATCGCAGCCCACTGCAACGAATTTAAACAAACCCTAGTAACTTGAACACCCGGAGGCGCCGTCATGCACTTCTGGCTGCCGAGAGTGGAATCCAAGTCCGGACGCCCCCGGCCCGAAACGATGAAGCCGAAGCCCTCGACAGCTCAATGTTCAGACTACATGATCTAAACCTGAAGCTCTCTTCAGCCATGGCCTAGATATGCAAGCCACAAACCGTAAACACCAATACTACACTGCCCCCTAACCCACACCCTACTCCAACCATGCCCGACCATCAGCATAACCCCAAAACCCTGAACTCTGACAGCCCTGTGGGCAGTAAAGCCCTCAACCTTCGCGCCACATCCCTGTAAGGACTGGGCTTCGGCTACTCATGGCGGGGGAAACGTCCTGCAGTGACGAGACTACATGCCTCAACCAGAAGCCAAAGAATCACAGGAGCGACAAAGATCTATATTATTACATGTATGCATCATGACCACTAAACTAAATCACCCGTATCATCGACAACAACACCAACACCAAAACCATGACCGCGACGCGGCGACGGCGACGATGATGCCTCTCGAACCATCGGCACCCAAATCATGGTGTTCAACACCACCGCCATCACCGTTTGCAAACTCCAACTCCAGGCTGTCATACAAATGTGGGAGCCCTCCGTTTAAGACTTGGAGTTCACAGGTACATGGCTAAGTAGGGCTTCGGGTTGTCATGGAGTTTTGAAGCGTTTGTCTGCGTTTGGGGTCTGCTGTCAACCCCAGGTGGGAGGCGAGTCGTCCTTGGCGACGGCAGCCAGACCCCCCTAACCCAAATAACAAAAAGAAAAACACCCCGAAAGCAGCAAGGCAAGATGCGCAGGCAGGACCCGTAGCAGAGGGCGAGCCGGCGGCGGGACTGGGTTGGGGAATGTGGCTGAAGAGGCTGCTGTCTGTGCACAGGACCTGTTTTCCACCAGTTCTCGCCCCTTCGGGTTGGAGCATGTGTGGGCGCTGGAAGCCACGACAGTGCAACAGCGCATCGGTTGTGATGTTGCCGAAGTCTCGTCGTCATCAGCATGCTCATCATGTCCAGCCTCATCAGTCAATATCAGCATAAACATCAAGGTCATCATCGTCGTCGTAATCATCATCACGGAAATTTTGCGCAAGGGGTGGGGGGGGGGGGGCTGGGATGGGCTCTGTGCGAATCCCGCAACCTTCCCTAAGCAGTCCTGCGACATGCTTGCCTCTCGGGAGAAGTCCCTGGCAGAGGACTGACCATACATGTTTGGATGGGTGGTTAGACGTGGTTAGGCTGCTTCAAGGATTTCTTCACAACCAGGCTTTGGGGTTTGCTAGGAGCTGCGGCGGTTTACGGATTCATGGTTACGGCTAGACTAGGGTCGTTTAGCTTCAGGGGTTTGGGTTGCTTGTTGCTCTCATGTTTGAGGGTCATTCTTCAAGCTTTCGTTGCTAGGGTGGGCTAAACCCATCGTCAGCATTTGCCTCGCACCCTAAGCCCTCGCCTCCGCCAAACCTGAACTTAAGCCTGAACCCCAAACCCTACCAAGGCCGAAACCCTAGACCCTAGCTAGGCCCTATACCCTGGACCCTAAAACCAAAACCCTAACCATCATTGGCGAGCTTCCGGCCCTGCCAGATTGCGGAAGGCTCCATGCCGAGACGTTTCGAGGTTTGCGCAGGAGTTGGGCCGGAGTGAGATGTTTCGGCTTTTCACGACCTGGAAGCTGTTACGGCTTTCTTTGTTACAGGGCCGCGATAAACTTGGGATCTGGGCTTCCCACAGGTGTCACGGTGTAAAAACGTGCTTAGGGCTTCGAGGCACCATGACCAGTCTTCATGGTCATACTACCAGAAGCACCAAACCCGAAACCGCAAACGAGAGAGGGAGTAACACTTGGGCACGAATAAGTGGTATGGCATCCTGTAGAACTAGCTTACAATATGCCGAAAACACTTCTCCAATCAAGCAGGCCCCTTTGTTGGCGAAATGACCGCTAGCTCGGGCAGGCCTTGCTGAGGCGTCAACCATACCAGGGATATCTCAGCATGAGGACGAGAGCAGGATTTTCGCGTTTAGGGTTTCTGGGTGGCTTTGGGGTTTTCGGACTTTAAAGTTTTTTCGGGCCTAGGCCTTAGGGCCTAGGGTTGTCTTGGGCTGCAGGTAATCTGGACCTGTGTGTGACAACTTTGATCAGTGCCCGGAGGCTCTCACCTGAAAATTTGCATCATGCGTTCAAATCTAACTCTGCCCTTGGCCTACCCTGAACCTGAAGCTTCGTCTTGAAGGCATCCACGTGGAGTTTCACTAAGGGCCGAACATGCAGAGACTTGATCAGAAATAAAACTTCATGCTGTCTTGAAGGCTGCTCTCCACTTTACAACTCCTCACGGAAAAAAGGACTAAGGATGCTTCGACTGCGCCGTGCGTCGCAGACTCGCCGGAACTGAACCCTCCCACATGTTGTGGCCACACTGCATCCCAAACTGCGAACGACTCCGACCCCATACCTGTTCCGCTTCCCAAAGCCTTGCACCACGCAGGATCTGAAGTAGTTGAATCCGGATTAGCAGTTGTACTCTCTGAAAAGACAAGGGGTGGGGATGGCGAGAGAATCATCAGAGCTATAGAGCCTCTCACCCCCGGGAAAGCAAGATCAGCGTCGCACTCGCATCTGAGGCCGAAGAGGTTTTGTGAACCTGCAAGCGCATAGGGCTTCACGCTGAGAGCTAAGAGTTTAGGCCAGTGTAGGCTTTTGGAGTAGAGCTTGAAGCTTCATACCGTAGGAGATTCGTTCGGTTGAGGCTTTGGCTTTGGTCGTCCAGGATAAGTGATTAGGGCTTCTTACGCTTGAGGTTAAGGGTATGAGGCACTTGGGCTGATGACTGCGAAGGCGCAGCACCTAAACCTAACACCTGAACACCTCAAACCCCTAAACCCCAAAATCCGAGAACCGAAAACCCCAAACGGAAAATCCTAAACCCTGAGACTCTAGACGTATAACACCGTATGACCAGGGTTGAGGCTTATGGCTGAAAGATTGGAGTAAGGGACTCGGCTCATGGTTCAGGGTTTGGGGTCCAGGCTTCGCAGACGAACTCTAGCGACATCGGGACATGAAGCCAGAAGCCACGTGCACTGGGAAGGCCTGGCTTCGCATTTTGCCAGTACTGGCAGACTTCTTCAGGGACATCTCCTGCTACACCAACTTCAGTCAAGTGGGTGTGGTTGAGGCCTTCTACAGGTAGCAACAGTAAATTGAAAGACCTGCCCAACACAGACAGAGGAGAATAAAAACGACAATCGGAAAGCTACCATTGCGAGGAACGTTGTCATCATCTGCATCTTCATCTCGTAGGCCATCCTCATCAGGAGCAACTTCATGATCGTCATACGCATCATCCTAGGCATACCCGGCCCCTCCTGTGAGACGCCGATAGGAGGGGTCGGGAGCCCTCCCGGCTCTGGGCTGAGGTTTCGGGGCCTTCCGTTTGCCTAAGAAAAGTCTGGAACAGGGCTGAAGGCTTTTTCAGCAACTAGTTTCCGATCTGCCGAAACGTCTGTAGATGGTCTTGGGTTTAGGGCTGAATATTGGGATGCAGGGTTTAGGGCGAAGCGGTAAGGTTGCAGTTTAGCGGCTTTGTCAGAAAACCTTTAAGAACATGCTCTCAGATAACGAGAAACGCCCCCAAAGATAAATTGTTTGCCCGTCACCGGTACCTGCGAACACATCAAGTCTAACATGGACGACAAGAAGAATAACAGTAATAATGCAAGTAAAATAGTGAGAATATACACCAATGGTACTACAAACAAGAAGAAGACTTCGTGCTTTAAAAAAGCGTCTATGAGTGTCACCTGGTCCATGGGGCCTTTTGGTCTGGTGGCGCTTCCCGCAAGTAGGTCTGAACCTCAAGTTCCGAAGCACAAGAAACCCAGCACCGCCTCTCTGAGGTCTTGTCTGCCGAACACCTATACCCGGAAGATTGAAGCCAATCGTGGTGTCGCAATACCCTGCCGGGAACTCAGTAAAGGAGTGGAGGGGGGAACAGTGTCCTTTCGGAATAATCTCTCGTCCATGATGACGCTGGCATTGTGTTCGCCTGGCAGAGCATTGCTTCTTCTTGATCTGAAGCATGCAGGATGTTTTAGTTAGGACCCCCTTCGCCCCTTTTGGACAATAGGCACCACCAGCCCCACCCCCATGTCACAACCAGTATCCCAACCTAAGTTACCATCCTAGTAATACTCCCAACATCCCTATCCAGGTGCCATAGCTCAAAAGGGGCGAGGGTGGTCTTGTAGAATTTGGTTCAGGGTTTAGGAGTAAGGGTTGTAGCTCTACTGTAATTATAATGTATAACTGATATATAACTGCTTGTGTATCATTACACTATAAAGATGCTGTCACTGGTTTTTAATGCGGTGGTTTGTTAAAATGTCGTGACCACGTGCAAGCTAACATTGATGAGTTACATTTGTTACACATGTAGTGCTCTTTACCGTCAACTACTCGGATTATGTCTGGTTTGGGAACATCTTTCTCAAAGTCTGGATCGTTTAGCTTTTACAAATGATACTGATGCGTTTGTGACTTTTCGTGCCGGGCTTGTTTATATTTCGTTATTTTTTCATTACAAAGAGGGCACGTGACAACCTCGTCTGTAATTTTGTTCAAGCGATTCTGTCTCCACTCTTTAACTTTTTCGGGATTTTGTGCTCTGTATTCTCTCTTTTGTTCCACTATTTGTTGCTTATGTGTGTTTACCATATCGTTTTGCTTTTTCTCTACATACGTTACACGTCTTATAGTTCTCGTCGAAATTTTCAATCTTCTGCATTATTTGACACTTACTGCAGTATCTCCTTCCTTCCATTGCTCAATATATATATATATAGGTGTCATTTCTTTACGTGCGTATCCCGCCCAGTGTCTAAACATTCTGAACAAGCCAGCGTATATTTAACATAACAATAAGAATGCTTACTAGTGCAGCAGCAACGCTTTAAACAATCTATGTCTTTGACTTGCTTACACCGATAACACTTCCTAGTAACAACATTACTGTTTCATTATATGGATCAAAAACAACTGATATCTTATCCACTCTTACTGGCATTATTTTGTTCTTATACACGAGAATCTTTTGACGAAAAGTAATATTCATTAAAACGAGAATCTTTTCATGAATAATGGTATGTATTCAAACAACTTTTCATAATGAGATGTTGTAAAAATTTGCACCGGTTTCTTAAGATTTAACGAAACTAATTACTCATTAATGCCATTTGCAAACTCTTATGGTTTGCCTATGAGCCTGTAGAACTTGCTAGGCACACGGGGGGCATTGGTTCACTTCCTTCTTCTGTTAGATGGGGGAATGTAT